TGAAGGACTATGTGTAGTGTACACTGGTATTGAGGGTATGGGTTTTGAGGTTTTGAAGGTTTTGAAGGACTATGTGTAGTGTACACTGGTATTGAGGGTACGAGTTTTGAGGTTTTGATGGTTTTGAAGGTTTTGAAGGACTATGTGTAGTGTACACTGGTATTGAGGGCATGGGTTTTGATGGTTTTGAAGGACTGTGAAGGACTATGGTATTAGGGTATGGGTTTTGATGGTTTTGAAGGTTTTTAAGGACTATGTGTAGTGTACACTGGTATTGAGGGTATGAGTTTTGAGGTTTTGAAGGTTTTGAAGGTTTTGAAGGACTATGTGTAGTGTACACTGGTATTGAGGGTATGGGTTTTGATGGTTTTGAAGGACTGTGAGTACCATTGGACAGGGGCGGATCTAGGATTTAATTTTTGGGGGGTAATTATGAGATGGGAGGGGTAATTATAGGGTGTGGTCAAGCAAGCTTGTGCAGAACCATAAATGTTAGAGTAAATTGTTTAGATCCACCACTGGGGCTGGATAAAATGGGTGTGTTAAGATTATTTGTGTGGTACTCGAACTGTACAATAATAAATTTTCAAAAACAAGTAAATTCAAAATTTAGATAATATCATGCAATAGTCAGTCACTTGTAAGAAGGTTTAGGAGCTACAGGACGCCTTCCATTGTCATAGCAGAAGGAAATGTATTTGTTGCGCCTTTTAACAAGACGATGTAAAAAAAAATGATGATGACATTTTCCCATTGACACCAAAATTTTCTTGTAACGTCCTAGCCAGGCAAAAGTTTGTTCGCAAGCCATTGTGTTAAAAGATGGATTGATGTCTTTTATTTTTTGTGGATTATATTCCTCATGACATTTGGGGTCCCTGTGATTCTTTAAGTGAAGGGAATCAATGATTTTAATAACATCAGTCCACAGATATTTTAAATCATCAGGTAGGGGCAGAGGATTCTTAGCTGCTTTTAAATTATTCAAATGACACATGTTGTCATAAGATATGATAACTTTTTTTCTTTCTTCTCTGCTAAGATTTCTAAAAGCTGTTGTCATCCACATTAACACAATTAAAAATACTTGTGCTGGACCCTCAGATCTAAAAAAAATACATTAATTTTACGTATGAATTTTTCATGAAGCTTACTGGTATAATGGCTGCCACATGTCAATATGTCCTCCTCCTCTCACAATAACAAGGTGTCCTCTTGTCCATTTCCTTAGTTGCTTTTTGGACCCAGTATCTTTATTGCAAGTAGGTTTATCACCATCTATCTCTTCTTCATCAAGAACTTGAGAAAGTGTTGGATGTGATGCTATAATATCTGAAATTCCTGTGCCAATTCAAACAATATACATCAAAATTTGTTTTAAACTTACCTTGTATTTTAGCAGAAGTACGTAAATCAGTCTCACATGGAGTTTCATCTTCCAAGACTTCTAAATATAAAAAATTCTTGAATGAATCACCGTATACATGTATATACTGTATAAATACATGTACATGTACATTTTAAAGTATCATCTGTATTTTGCTACATGCATGTACAGTGTGTTATCACCTCTATCAAGAGAATTAGAGTACATTTACTCTTGTCTCAATGTGCAATGTCATGTAATCTCACCATATACTGTATAGCTAGAATCTTTTGTGGCCCAAAATTTTTGTGAATTCGCAAAATTCACCAAAATAAAATCCACAAAAATCAATACTGTTCAACATGGCAAAAAGGCAGAAAATTGTGCAAATGAAAACCACAAAATATATTTTTGGACAAGCTTGTGAAAATTTTTGGCCATCAAAATTTTTTGCTATACGGTAGCCTCAAAACGTTTAAAGCCCTACATTAGTTTTGTGCATCTAATTTCCATGAATCAAAGCATAAGGCCATCTTGTACTGATCACTTACATTGATTAATTGGGGCGAGCCTAATTTCATTAAATGTGGGTGTGGTCACAAAAATAAAATGGCGGTTATCAGATTTTCAAAAAGGTTTTGCTTGCTCATGCAGCTGTATCTCATACAGGATGGCACTTGGGAGCTGAGCCCCTTAATGTTTTATGAAAAAATCTCAATGGTAAGTTGGTAACCACAAAAAACTAACCATGTTACATTTATTATTGTGAGCAAAATGATCATATGCATGTATACACAATGAAGACCACTGGAAGTGAAAATTATTATTTGCGTAGGAAGATTAATGATTATTAGAAATTTTATGGTCATAAGGTGTGGTTTATGATGAAATAAACTCCGGTCGCCATTTTGGTTGGCAACTTTTAATGGAGAACAAATGGGCCGACATAAAAACAAACCTGTATTAAGAGTTCTGGAGCAAATTTGACCAAATCCTTTACAGGAGAAGCTTAAAGACAGCTGTTTTTTATAACAAGCACTTTTTAGCTAGCTGAAGCAGGGTAAGTGAGGCATTTCCTTCATGCCTCAATTGACTTTCATAACATACTTAATTGCCAACCAAAATGGCAGCCAATTATGGCATGTGGGCGGACAACATATATATATATATATATATATATATGTTATATATCACATGACGATATGAGAATCGATATCCCGAGACCGAGGATACTTTGAATTGATATCACCCGAGGGCCTTCGGCCCTCGGGTGATATCAATTCAAAGTATCCGAGGTAGAGAGTGTATCGACCCATATCGGCATGTTATATATGTTATATTTCATCTATGAATCTCATTAATGAGATATATAGAATTAATTAAATTCATATTTTTTCCAATTTTCACTGTCAGTGGTCTATATATTTACGTGTACCTTCTTCCACTACTGGATCGAAATCCTCGATGTCTATCTCATTTTGCTCTGATTTGCCTGTTTATATGTACATGTATCTCAACTTTAAACATAAAGCTATACTTACGTATATATGACACATATTTCTTGATATCAGTAGGTATATTTGCTGACTCTGCCTCCTTACAGTGATCAGAGCAAAATGCTTTTCCATGAAGTGGCTGATTAGGGCAAGAGTCAACATATTTCAGCTGTCCTATAATATAAAAAGCCATGTTCAAATGTCTTGTACAGATGAATAGCAAATTTAGATGCCTATTTGATTATTCAACATACTTCCATGTTTATAGGCTATAATTAATTTGAATAGTCAATACATACACACATTGGCCCTATTATGGTAATATTATATACACATGTACCTGAAAATCCAGATACTTCCTTTGGTTCTTTATTCATACATATGGGATAAACTAATTTCCACAAGCCATCAACAGACCAAAGCCTACCACATCCTATTTTGATTAAAATAATATAAACAAAATGATTCAATTTCATAAATTATTATGAACCATATAACACTATTGCAATCATGGGTCACAGAGAGAGTGATGGCTATGTGATAGATTTACGGAAATAACACACTTTTCTAAGCTACGATAGAGCACAAAATTTTCTAGGGCTGTATATTTTGCAATTTTGCCTAAAAATCTAGTATGTGAATTCATTTTTCGCAAATTTACACCGTCCGCCATCTTGTACCCTAATAATTTTGATTTTCAAGGAAGTAATTATTGCAAATTTTCAAAAAATCGCGAAATTCGTAAAATTTACAGCCTTCACAAATTTTGTGTATCCTCTTTCCAAAAATTAACAGTGAGCAATTTTAGAGTTTTAAAATTTTGTAAACATTTTGCACATTTTGGCATCCCTCTTTCTCTTTCATACATGCAGTTAACTTTAATCTAATTTTAATAATGTGTCTCATGAATCTGCATACATTAATACCTGACCTCGATCCTTACAGTCCTGGTTGCATTCATGATGATCATAGCACGACAATGATCGTCTCTCATCAATTTGCTGCATGATTGTTTCTCTCGGCTCTGTTGACGAAACATTTCCGAACTCTCTTAGTTCTGCCTCAGTTTCAGCATTCCAGAAGGATTCAGCCACAATCTTTCGTGTCAGTTCAAGAGATGCAAAAGAAGAAGTAAAACAATCTAGAATGCAGAACATAAAATAATCCTAATTATCAACATTGCTGTTAGCCTACAACTTTCATCTTGATTATTTGACAAATAGCCACTAGTACCTCGAACCATCTCATTATATGCTTCAGCAAACGCTTCAAACGAGCACCAAGCATGATGGCTACAATAACAAACACAAAATAATAAAAAAAATTTATTATCAAGACCTAAATCAATAGCCGGTCATCAAACATTTTCTGACCATTAATTTATTTATTTTTCCAACAAAATTCTGTGTTGTTCTACCATATGATTTTTGAAATAATGACGTAAATTTTATTTACATGTAATTATAAAAGCATTTTCAACCACAGGATTTCCAACAAAGTATGCCAAGTGATCTAAACAGAATATTTCATGAGCTGACATTCCTGACAAACATGGTACATGGCTTTTGAAGCAACTTATAAAATCCATATAAAAACAATTTTGAGCTGCATCAGTTCCAATTTTTTACACAACATAGGAACATGTATATGCATCAAAAATTTATAATACATGTAGGTATAGCACAG